TGTATATAATTATAGACATTTTGATAAAAATCTAAAAATGAATGAAATGCATATAAACTAACATGAGGTACATTCATAACACAGTTTAGTGCCGATCAAACATTCATTGGTTTAATGAAACATTGAAGTTGAAATAGCTTCGTTACAGAATTTCCAACAAATAACCCTCTATGTCATATCATAAAAACAAACCTATATCAAATTCATTATTTCATAGATTTGATGAATTAATGATTGACGAGGAAGCCTAAATGCTGTTCAAGTACCTCATACTATTAATTCAATATACATTGCATCAGGTATCATTAATAGGTTTTTTGTTTGTTTGGGTCTATAATATTTTGTATTCAAAATAGAAAATGTCATTCCATAGCAATTGGAATTGACCCGTTACAAAAAATATGCCAAAATTGTATACATCAGAATACACTTATATGCTAAGTAGGATGATCATTTTCACACAAATTATCCACAGATCAGTCATAGGTAGATAAGCCTAATTCATTAACAGTATAATGACATCTAAAGAATAAATCTAAATTCTTAAGCTGTAGGGGTATTATGATAGAACTTAAAGCCATACATATTGAAAGGACTGTATCAATGATAAAAACAATAATTTTCAGCCTTTAAAATGTCAGTGTTGTATTAGACCCAAAGGGGAAAGAGTGCCCCCCCCCCCAAAAAAAAAAAAAAAACCATCAGCCTCATTTTTTGAGTTGCGCCATCTTCTTTACAAACATGCATCACAAATAATATTTCACAAGATATTTTAGTCAAGGTTCCTCTTCCTGTAGTACTAACTACATTATTGCATTCTAACAACCCATCCAGAATGAATAACAACCCTTATAAAACACAAGCACATTAGCACAGCCTGCATCATGGCTAAAAATTGCTTTCTGAGTTATGCATGTAAGTGTTTGTACTGGAACCCACTGCAAATGGAAAATTTATGGCAGTACTCTAAAATTCACATAATAATACAGTGCAAAGTGCAAACATCCATTTTAACTCATAGCCTGCCATAAGGCTGCATGCACGCTATTGTTAAGGTGCCATGTACACTAGCAAGCTATTGTTCCTCTGCTTCTTGCATGATTGCACGCAAATGTAATAGCAGTTATTGTTCATGCCCATTTGACTGTGCCTAGTGTTTGCACGCGCTATTGATAGTACCATCGCGTTAATCCGATCATCTCATTATTAACTTGGCACTGCAGGGATTTGGGGCTTGGCACTGCAGGGATAAGAGTTAAAGAACAAAATACTGTACCTTACACTGCCATGTCCCATTCAAGTGTTAGTTTTAGGACAAGAACATACAGTACACATACTGTAAATTATATATTTTTTAAAGCATTTATATTAAAGAAAGTGTGGGAGTGGCAGTATGAGTGATACATTGTCACAGACTGTTAATATTTCAGAAGGCAGACATGAAATCAGGATGAAAGTGTCCACAAAGTAACAAATGTACATTTCACTCCATCTCCTATTATTTTGATCTAAAATTATAATTGCATGTACCAAAAGAGAGTCTTTATGTTGTAAAGAATAAATTAGACTATAATGGTCAATCACAAATATTCATTGCGTAGAACTGTGAATATTTAACTTTTCATATACATTTGGGTATGTTATTGTTTGCACAAATGTATGCACACCCACACAAAAAACCGATTTAGTATGGTATGATCATAAAATGTACAATGTATTTGCATACCGTAACCTTTTTAATAGTGACACTAATTGGTCTGCAATAATTAAACATTTTCACTATCTTTTCTTTCTGATACATTGTAGGTTCCATGGTGTTAAAAACTGTTTGGTTTCCAGGCTAAACACTGCCCCCCCCCCCCAAAAAAAAAAAAAAAAAAAAAAAAAAAATGGTAATAATAGTATGTATAATAAATGATTGTTTTCTGTAAATAGAAAAAAAAAAAAAAAATAAAATTACAAAAAAAAATGTTTTCCTATTTTAATATCAAGTTATATCCCGTAAATTCTACTCTGAATAACTTTCAAAATATATTGTATTTATAAATAAACATTAAAAAGAATGAACTTGGAATATTTTTGAATAACGGAGGGGAGAGGGGAACCCATTTATCTATAAATTATAATATTATAAAATCTTGTTTTTGGGGTAATAATATAACACGTCCTGTACGTACATACATGTACATACACTGTACATTCAATGTCTCTGATTATATCCTACACACATCATAACAAAATTGTACATACTAGGTAATATTTAAGTATGGTTATAGAGATTAATATACCTGTAAGTTTAGAGCCACTATACAGCAAGCATATACATGTATTATTTTTTTTTCTCATTTATTTGAACGAGTTGTTAGCATTTCTTTTATTTACATTTAATAAAGCATCTCGATATACATTCTATAGTACTACTGTCTCCACTAACACGTGTCACTGACTCCTATGCAAGAATGCGCATATTAATATAAAAATTAAACAAATTGACTTCAAGTACCATAGTCATTTTTCTTATTCTTGGCATGGAAAACTACACCAATTGTCTTTTTTTTGTGGCTATTAAACGCTACACTGTATCAAATCAGCCAATAAACAAATTAAAAAATGAAGAGAGGAAGCGATAAATGTACGAGAAGACGATGATAACAAGAGATATATAGGAGGTATGACTTGTGAAACTGAAAGATGATGGGAGAAACAGGAAGGATAGGGTTAAGAGAGAGAGGGGGTGAGAGAGAGGGTGTGAGAGAGAGAGAGAGAGAGAGAGAGAGGGGGTAATAGAGAGAGATAGAGAGAGATGGTGATAGAGAGAGAGAGAGAGATGGTGATAAAAAGAGAGAGATGGTGATAGAGAGAGAGAGATGGTAATAGAGAGAGATAGAGAGAGATAGAGAGAGAGAGATGGTGATGGAGAGAGAGAGAGATGGTGATAGAGAGAGAGAGATGGTGATAGAGAGAGAGAGAGAGGGTGATAGAGAGAGATAGACAGACAGACAGACAAACAGAACAAGAGAGGGAGGATAGAGAGAGAGATAGAGACTGAAATTTAGAGGGATATATGAAGAGAGAGAGAGTGAGAAAAAAAAGTCAAAAGCGACTGAGAAGGGAAATTAACTGAACAATCTGATGGCAAGAATTATAATCATCTCATCGTATGAAGAGTTATTAAAACCACAAACAGACACCGGAAGTCAGAGAAAGAAAAATGCCTGGCTACAAGTACAACAGAGATGCATACATATCTTGATTTAAAAAATGAAGAATTTACAAACAATATACATGGGCGAGAATGTTGTCAAAAAGTTTTTTTTAATTGCCAGTTTTCATTGAAAAACACTGATTATTAATCTCTGAATATGTTGCCAATGCAAGGATTTTAAAACTTATTTTCATTTTTGTAATTTCTAGCATCAAAGGCAATAGTCATGAAACAAAAATGGATGCAGTGTGTGCACTTTTTTGTTGCCGTTTCTAATCTATTCATGTATCTGGTATCAAAAGTTATTGAGCGAAAGCCCAAAATGTGGAATAATTGTCGCAAGAGGGTCAACATATTTCAGAAGGTTTAGGCAAATAGACAAATATGAAAAAGATGAAAAAGATGACAAAGAAGGGGGATAAAACATGAAAAATTAAATGCAGCTACTGGTCTCAATACAGCCTCTTTCATACTAAACATGAACAAAGTAACAATGGCAATATAAAACGACATATAACGTGTGTGAACTTCAAGTTCCTGTATCAAACACACAGAGAAGTACACACGCTTGTCGGCGAATCTGTGTAATGTGTCACATAAAAAACATGACTTTTATCCTTTTAATTCACCCAATAATATTTAAAAAAAACATCAATAGGAGCATTAACTAATGGTTGTTTCTGGTGTCATTCAATCATTCAATCAAACTAGAGAATTCTTTGAGTGGATAAAACACAAGTATGTAAATGGAAAAGATGACATATTGTACATGGGACATTGCCTGGAATGAACCTTAACCCTTCGCCTTCTGAATTCTCTAAACCCCATAGGCTTAATACAGGAACCCCCTGTTCCAGTAGGGAAAGGGGTAAGGGGCATTTGTTGTGATGCGCACGCAGCGTCCCGTACGTCACGCAGCACATTAATTACATTAAAAATTAATTAAAGAATTGGTCAGAACTCAAACATTCCACACATGAACTAGCCCATAATAGCCACAGACTCATACCAAAAGTAAATAGTTTCATCTGTTGTTATTTCTTGTTTAAAGGGACTTGGTAACATTGTTCAGATGAGAGATAGTGGTGCTAAGGTAGTGACTTCAATGCTAGATGTACAATTACAGATACGGTAATCCGAAAATTTGAGTGAAAACTGACCATTATAAATGGTACAAATTGGGAAAAACTGATCTGATTGATTCCTTAATTCTCCCAACTATATTATTACAGTTTAATGACATTTTAGATGAATGGAAATCTCACAAAGCAATAAAATGGCTCTACATTCCATTCCAGACATTTAAGTGTTGACAGAATTTTATAGCCTGTTTTATGTCTTTTTTTCATGGAAAAACGGTTGGGAAAATTCAAAAATGGTTGGGAGAATTTACTGTTAATCACTGTTAGAGGGTGTCGTACATCGACGCTTTCAAAGAAAACCATAGATATCTTCATGGTTAGAGAATTTTTTCAGGATTTTTTGCATGTCAGACGGTTAGTCCAGTAGAAGGAATATAGTAAGTAACATTTTATACAAAAATTAAGCAATTTTTTTTCATCAACCTTCAACAATGTTACTAAGTCCCTTTAAAGTCTCTGAATGTCCCGTACACGTGTCACAATCCAAATAGCTTGGACCTGCCCATTAATGCCTTATTCATCGCTTATTCCAAGGGTTGTTGTAGGTAGGTGGGGTCGTGTGTAAACATGGTCTAATAGCCGTAGACAGTACTTGCGGACGATACGAGGACTACATAGTATACTATTATGAGTATGACCCACAGTACATTAAGCACGATCCCTGTGATGAGACCAGCTAAGGACCACTTCTTAGCGGATTGAGATGCCTCTTCCGCTCCTGCGTAATCACCGGATGTGTGGCGATTACGAACCTGTAGGGTAGAAAGGAAGAAAGACTGATGACTCCGTCATCGATATACCTGTACACAGTGGGGGAATGGGGTAGGGGCAGGTGTTGTGATGCGGGTAGGCGGGTTTGTGTGTAAACATGGTCTAATAGTAGATGTTAGACGTGGCGACAGATATGATGACTACGTAGTATACTATTATGAGTATGACACCGAGGACTTCAAGCACGATGCCTGTGATGAGACCAGCTAAGGACCAGTTCTTAGCGGATCGGGACGCTTCTTCGGCCCCGGCGTAATCACCGGATGTGTAGCGATTACGAACCTGTCGGATAGAAAGCAAGAAAGACTCATGACTCCTTCATACAATATACCTGTACACATGCAGTGGGGAATTGGGGTAGGGGCAGGTGTTGTGATGCGCACGTAGCTCCTTCCGTTATATCTATATTCTACATTAACACGTTATTCCTCTATTATTCCAAGGGTTGTTGTAGGCAGGTGGGGTCGTGTGTAAACATGGTCTAGTAGCCGTAGTTGTCGAACGCGTCGTTGACAGCAGCCGTGTAGTAAGATATGATGACTACGTAATACACTATTATGAGTATGACACCCAGGACTTCAAGGACGATCCCTGTGATGAGACCAGCTAAGGACCAGTTCTTAGCGGATCGGGATGCTTCTTCGGCTCCGGCGTAATCACCGGATGTGTAGCGATTACGAACCTGTGGGATAGAAAGCAAGAAAGACTCATGCAATATACATGCACATGTATAGTATCTTTATCATGAGATTGGTCAAACATAGTGGTCATGTGGTGGTTATTTTACCTGACTGCTAAGAAAGCATGAATGCTTGTTAGTAAGCAACCAGACGGCCGACGGCTTTAGGTCCTCTCCAAGGGACCTAGTAATGAGGATTAATGCCTTACCAAAGGGCACTAGTGCATCGACTTGGTTTCTAACCCGGGTCACCGGATTACGAGACCACTGCTCTACCGACTGAGCTATCCCGCCTCCTATCCTACAGATAGTCTGTATTACACATGTACAGTGGGCTAACAACTACATTATTTATACCCCTAATAGTAATACCAAGTTTTGTCATTTTAAAGTACATGTGAAAAATTGATTATGATTCATGATATTAAAGGTAAAGACCAGTGGTGGTCATGCGATTGCATTGTGAAAGAAAAGTTGTGGAATCAATCAGAAAAGGTTGATCATCTAGCATATAGGTTTTGGTGTGTACTGCAAGATTCTGGAATCATCAAAATGATAAGAAATTTGGCCCAGTCTTGGTAAAGTTACAAGCACTGTACACAGAAAGATGTATATGGGACTACGCACACGTGCGCGACACGTGCGTTTATCTCTCACATACCAATAGATAAACTAATTTACCAAATATATCAATTAGTAGGCGGTTTCCCGGCAAAATTTTTATCATCATGTATTAGTCAAAACATATATTCTTTCACATGATTGGTAATAAGAGCTTCCATTTCATTTTTTGAAATTGGGGCGTTTCCAGTACTGGTCTTTACCTTTAAAAGTATTCAAAAAAGATCCTACATGTAATTCAATCAGTCCACCTTTTATTCTTGTGTCACAAAAAACATCATAATATCCAACTTACAAGGGGTATGAATATACCTACAGTTGGCCACAACCCGCAGGGTAATATGTGTTAAAGGTAATACAAAGTTTTGGGAAATTTTGAAAATTGGGTGGATAGTGATTCTTTACAATTTTGATATATTTGGATGCCCCTGTGAATGTATTATAATCACTAGAAAATTTAGTCCGTAAAAAAAAAATTGAAAAAAATTACCGGTGCTCCCGGTAAATTCTGATAAATTTCAAATAGCGCCTATGACCGTACAATGGTAGCTGCGACCATGAAAATCTCAGAATATGTAGTTGTGATACATAATTCCTAAACGGGAATAGCTAATCGGTCGATTTTAGTCAACAAACATCGTTTTATAGCTAAATTAATATCTTGACCTTGAGAGGGAGCTATACAACATCATTATTTCATAACTTTAGACTCGATTTCAACCGCGACAACGATCACTGAATATTGTAGGATCGCATATGCTTCCAATATGTTGATTTGAACCAAATTCATGACCCTATACCAAAACTTTGTATTACCTTTAAAGCTTATCTGCCATAGTTTACAGGAGGGATTAGACCACCCTGCAAGGTCACTGGACAGGTGGTTATCTCATCAACTCAGCTCTCAGTTAACATAAGTAAAAGAGGATCATGGGGGACCAATGGTCACCGATTAGGCATTGTTTGTTATATAGAGAACGCAAGTAGCTACAAGTAGTGCAGTTGGCCTTTAAGCGCCATGAGCGTCGGAGCCTGACGGATACCGGCGCTATACAGGGCGTATCATAATAAAGGATATTGAAGTTTAATGACGATTTATATGAAAACTACTGATTTCATAATCAAGCATTTTATGTCTGTTGTAAAGGACAGAATGTCCTCTTTTTAATGACACCCCGATCATACTACTACTGTCACAGTTGACTGAATAACAAAGCATTGCTGTCCACCATGTGAAAGGTGCACTGTGACAAGTTAGCATTCACAGATAAATTATAAAGATTAGTGCTTGTGTCAGCCCAGACATATTGAAATGCTGAACAATGAGTGGATTATGTGTCTAAGAAGGAAATGTTATCAAACTTGGCATAAAATGCTTGATTATGAAATCAGTAGTTTTCATATAAATCGTCATTAAACTTCAATATCCTTTATTATGATACGCCCTGTATAAACAACCCTATTATTATTATTAACTGTACACTACATGCTCTACTGACAATACACCAGTTGGTATGTAGTTGGCACCCGGTACAAATAAACCCAAACATTCACAGATCTTTTTAAAACCATGGAGGAGTTCCACTTCGAGCATTTCACAATATTTAGTGCCAAAGTGATGAAGCTGTCGAGGTGCTTCAAGAATACCTTTTGTTTGCCCTCTTGAAAAGAATACCTCTACATCACGGGTGGCCAACCTTTTAAAGCTCGCGGGCCATAGCTAACGATTGGCATAACTTGGCGGGCCATAGGTAGTCTTCTCCCCCCCCCCCCCCCCCCAAAAAAAAAACAACATAACAACACTCATGCAATACGTGTACACACCTGCAATTTTGCAAAAACAAACAAGCAAACAACAAAATAAGTGGGGAAAAAAGGCGGGAGAAAAGGGCTGCAAGTTTCAAGACAGGTATGGCATTTCAAACATATTGCTTGATTCAGAACATTAATTTGTCTATAATGTACAAACTGAAATTAAAACGGCGAGTGATTTTAATACCCGGAGGGGGGGGGGGGGTACTCTGATTTGGCTTGGACGGGGGTGTGCCGCTCAAGCCTCGATCGAAACCCCTACCCATTATTAGGGGTCATTTTTCTTGAAAAAGACCCATTTTCCACAATTTTCAGGTGTTTTTTTTGGGGGGGGGGGGTATTTGCATGGCAACGCCCGAAAATTTCGAAAATTTTGAAGAAACGGACCCACTTTTAATGGTATTTTTGTTAGGAGTGGGACCCATGTTTAGAATTGTTTGTGACAAAGTCACCCATTAGAGCGGCACACCCCCGTATGTGATATGTGAATACCCCCCCCCCCCCCCCTGGGGGGGGGGGGGGTTAATGTCGAGGTAATTTTAGGAGTTTTGTATCAACCACGTAACGATTAAATATGTTTTGAATGATGGGAACAAATTATGGAAATATAGATAGCTGTTTGTAAATGTTTTACCCTATTTCATCGCTGCTATGCGGGCCGCATTTCATTTATGAGCTATTTTTATTATCACTTCTTCAATGCTCCGCGGGCCGTACTAGAAAAGCTCGCGGGCCGCGGGTTGGCCACCCGTGCTCTACATGTACCTGTGTATCATAGAATTCACAACCGTTGGTGACTAAATGAATAATGATAGTTTCATCAGCACCTGGTATTCATATTGTTATTTTAAATGCAATATAGATTTAAGTACGGCAAAGGTACATGTATAGTAAAGTGTACTGTGCATGAGACTAATGCACTGTCTACATGTACAGGTACTATGAGCTATCAAGTTATTACACTTTGACTGATTTTCTTTCAACTTCCAGCATACCAAAAATGACAGATTACTTTTATGAAATGGTGGGTACAAATATTCAGTAAAAGTGAATTAATGGACATGGACTACTACAGTATCTCTGCATGAAAACATATTGCCTTGTAATAAAAGTTTGTTGTTATCAAATACCCAAGATTCTACTGGTACTCTCATCTGGAACAAGCTATTACCATAAAAGTACATGCAGATGTTTTCTATCATATGATTGTGATGGTACTCATTGTATACAATATGATCCTGTACATTTGATGTGTACATACTGCACGGTACTAGTTGCACAGTCACGTGCACAATAGAATAACGAAGGATAAAGAACATCGCTAGGAAATTTGTGGGGCAAATATTTCTTTTATTTATACTTTTTATATACCGGTATTTATTTATTTTTACTAGAAAGAAAGAAAAAAAACTGAACATGTACATGTACATCATTCAAGTTTAAAGTGAAAATTTTAAAAAATATTTAAAAATAAAGCATTTAAAATTTCATTACATACTGTACATTTATATAAAGAGTAGGAAAAATACAATAAGGAGAACAGGTCGAGTTCGGACCGGCATTAAAGATTGAAAAACATTAAAAGCCTTCAAGTTCATGTAGATACATACATGTGTAGCCTACTATTGTACATGGAATCTACTTTACTTCTGGGTGGTACTGTATTGATTTGGGGGTTTGGACCAGGTCACCATGGAAAACATACGATAGTTTATTTTTGTTATACACTGTATTCACCAAATTCAATGCATGAACGTCATTGTTAAGTGCCTCAATACAAATAATTGTTTGTCACTACTCCAAACTAAAGAAAGCTGATACAAAACTTGTAGAAATATAAAGAATTATTATACAGCCAAAAGAGCGAATAGATTAGAAAACAACATCTTTAAAAAATATGTTGCATAAATTAACTTATCTTGAAGAAACATGATAGCTGGCAGTGGCCAATCATCAGTGCGCATGCATGATAAGCCCAACCCAGTAATTTGCATACAAAAAGATATTCAGACAAGAGCAGGACCTGGGACCTGTTTCACAAAGCCTTGTCTCAATGACAAATGACAAAAATCAGTGACAAGTCTGATGATAACCAATCAGAAGCTAGGATTTCAGTAGCTTATAACAAAAACTGTCATTTGTCATTGATGACAAGTTTTGTGAAACGCACCCTGGAGGTGTTTCACATTTAGACTAAGATCAACTTTAAGTTGGACTAAGCTATGGCAGGCTGTTCATGCCACTGTTTTCTCTCACCATTTTAATAATGGCATTAGTTACAAATCTACAGAATTTACTTTTTTTGATAATTGATTATTGAAGTAAAAAATATTATCTAAAGAGCATAATGGTGAGAGCAAACAGTGGCATGAACGGCCTGTCATACTAGTAGTTAAGTCGATCTTAGTCTTTGTGAAACACCCCCCTGATTCTTTCATCAAGTTTTGATTCGTAACAATGCTCAAACATGCCTTGTGCTACAACATACAGTACTTCATTACCGTATAATTTATATGACGTTTCTTTACTCTTTGTTCAGACTGAAAAAAAATGTACAGGTGTTGTCCTACATGTACATGTATTTGAAGGGTTTAATTACAAAAGGAGCTAAATCCACTTTTGATGAAAATTGGGTAAATGATATAAGAACATTGTTCTCTAACAAGTACCCTTCTTTCAACAAAATCATTTACTTAAATTGTGGGAGCAACTATGAGAAAATGCACCTTCTAATATCACTTTTCCATAGACTTCTGTACAAAATCTGGTGAACAGTTTTCTTTTTTCTCAGAAGTGACAAAAATAGATTTAGCTCCTTTTGGAATTAAAGTTAAACTCTTCATTTGTTGTACAGCTATACAGTGAATGAGGGTAGTCTGAAAGTGGCCGGGGTAGATCACCATTTGACTCCATAAATCAGACTTAATTCAAACATGCCTTGTGCTACACGATACTTCATTATAATTTTTTATTTACATGTAGTCTGGGAATGACTTTGATAGGTCTGTTACTCTGTTAGCCTAGCTTTGTTATCCCACCACATTATGAGTAGCACTGTACCAGTAGTACATGTTTCATTTGAATCTTTGTTACATGTTTATTGTATTTCTTGTTTCTTACCAAATGGGGAAATAAACTTGAATTGAATTGATTAACAAAACTATTCAATGTTACATGCACTTTTAATGATATTGCTCACACTCACACTGCTATTATATTGGTTTGAATTATTTGAAATTCCAATAAAAGAGAAGAAAGTTGTGAATATTTGATTTACATGTAGTAATCATCAATCAATCAAACACAACCTGGCAACTGTGTGACATGTTTCTCTCAAGGACGTCTCCTATTTGCTCTGGACAGAAAATTTAATAATTGGTGTTGTTTTCTATTCTATCTACCGAACTCTATATACTATACATGTAGATCCATTTGATTTCTTCTTTGATACACATTGTTACATGGATATAGATTATGTCTGTATATACTTTTTTTATGTTGAATGTGAAAATGTTTTTGGATCAATAATCCTCATCAAATATTTATTTATTTTTAAAATAGAGTTTTACTTTTTATGGTTTTTATGGTTTTCGTAAATAACTACAGTAAAACACACTAGTTTTTGCAATGTAAATGCAATGTTTGTGTAGGGTGTTCACTCAATAGAGAAAATGGAAATTTGATGAATTTCATGGTAAAGTCAGGATGAAAGAAAGATTTGTCACAGAGATGCAAAATGTGTTTGATTGATTTCAATACCGGTAGGCCCATTAAAGATACTATGTCCCTTTTGCAGCCAACATCGAATTCTGTAGAACTTTGCAGGAATTATGAATATGTCATGTATGTCCTATCTGTGAAATTTAAACGTTAGCAGTGTCCTAATATTCAAATTATGCAAGGAAACCCGTTTACTTGCTAGACTTCACTGTCAAACACTATTGAGTGACTGACAGGCTTTTTTTTTCTTTGGTAATAACATACATGTACATAACATGAGCTGTAAAGGGTACATGAGCATTTATCTACATCAGTAACCCACTTCTTGTGATGGCCAAGATTAAACTGATTGACTCTTTGCACAGCATTAAACGTACGACCATTCGGTACAATGGTCTGAAAATCAAGACTATTACTTATTGGCTCTATAGCTCCTGAGTCGATTTGACAACTAATAGTCGTTATTTTCCCACTTAAAGACATTTTCAAGCCCCCCTTTTTTAAGGGAAGTTCTAAATTAGTATTATCTTTCAAATGCCGTTGAAATTTAACCTTTTCATTTTTTGGCCTGCAAATGGGACATAGTACCTTTAATACTAACTCCAAATTGTATGCATACTTTATAAACAAAGGTTATTCTTAACAACTTGAAAGCTTGTCTGAGGCTTTTACAACATAGCAACAGCATGTAATGTATGGAGACTGGATTCCAAGTATTGTATTTCATTCATTAATGACAGGTTAATGGAATAACTTGGGGTCATGAATCATGACAACTTGATGCTTTTGGTATGAATCTATCCCCCCCCCCCCCCCCCCCCCCCCCGGTAAACAGGATGGCATAAGGAGATTGCGTTTTTTAAACTTTAAAAACAAGTTTTATATTTATTTCCTTTATTCTAAAGCACTCTATGGGACCTCTAATAGGCTTTAAAAACCAAATTAATATGCTTAGGTATGTACACAGACAGCATTATATACCTCATACATAGATTGTCATTCACTGATTGGTCACACTATATCACATGTCAAGGAGCATTTCGATCTATCAAGTATCATTACGTCAGAGGGTTTGATAACTACTATCAAACCCTGGGATAGGACCCCTAACCCCTCCCGCGACTTAGTTGCGCACACAATTTTTTTGAGTTGCTAGGCTACCGCAATCGCGCAGTTACGCGCAGCGCGTAGGATTCAATACTCTTGCCTTGGACTTAATGTTGGATTTTTCTTATTCTGGTGAGTAAAATCCTCTTGATCTCGTTTCCTGTTTTTTAGAGCTAGATCTAGACCTACATCTAGATCTAATCATGAATCAATAAAAAGGATGAGGTATATAAAACAAATATGGACTGCTCTGTAATCGGATGATGGAGGGAACTACCACTCCCTCGGTAGTGTTCACATCGGCCCTTCTATCACACCCTCGGCTTTCGCCTCGGGGTGATAGAAGGGCCGGTGTGAACACCACCTTGGGAGTGATAGTTCCCACCATCATCCTCATGAGCAGTCAATATTTGTATATTAGACAAAGGTAAATGAATAGAGTGGAAATAAATGACTCATGGCTTTAATAGAATGGAAGCACGCCAAGCCTCATGGCTTTAATGGCTAGGCTTCATCAAATCGATTTGATGACTCTAAATGAAATTAATGACTCTAAATGAAATTAGAGCATTTTGTGTGTGTGGGCGGACATGAAGGTCATTTTATGGGAACCATTCATGATGACAGACAAAAGCAGCTTGCATGGTAGGAGGTACAAATAGGCATATACACATGTATCAACAATGTATATGCTAAGAGAGCATTGTAAAATGCATGAGCAGCATAAATATCTAGGTCATTCAATATGTGTCAATGTTCCCCTATGAACAAAGATGGTGTTTTGTTAACAAGTTGACAATAAACTTAAAGAAAAAAAATTATATGCTCATTAAGGGACAAAGGCAATCATGTGAAATTAGGGGTATTTTAAAACTCAGTGATACAGTGATAGATAGAGTCAGTGTAGCATCTTTCGTAGGAATTCAAATTGATGAAACCTTGATGTGGAAGGAGCAAATTCAGAACGTTAATAAGTGTATACGGAGGAAGATTGGACTGCTGTGTAAGTTGAGGCACTATGTGCCTAAGCACATTCTCATGCTCTTGTATAAATCCTTTATCCAACCGCACATACTTTATGGTATTGAAGTTTGGGGAAGTTGCTATAAAAGTCATTTAAATTGCATACTATTGGCACAGAAAATGGCCATGCGTGTGATAACATTTTCCCCATTTAGAACGAGTTCGAAGGCACTGTTCGTACGTCTACAGGTATTAGATGTGCATAATCTGTTCGAGCATTCAGTATCGACATTTGTATATGATCTGCAGAAAGGACATCTACCACATTCGTTAATGGATTACTTTGTTTTAATGAATCACATGTATAGAACAAGAGGGAGAGAACATTTAATGCTCCGATTACCTAAATGTAGTAAGACACGTGGGACTTTTTCAATTTCTTTCATTGGAGCAAAGCTGTGGAATAATTTGCCCATAAATATAAGAGAAGAAAAAACAAGATCATCATTTCGTCAAAATCTCAGAATTAAACTCCTTAGCAGAGATGAATCATAAGGATCAAATAATATGATATTAGGACAAAATAAATGTTAATATGACTTTGCATACAGTTTTAGAAACTCGGAGAACCAATCCCGACTAGCACTCGTGCTAACTTTTGGTTCTCCCTTTAACAACATTTTTAAGTTTTTAAGTTTAAAAATATCCTTTATTTGAATCACTTATACCTTATTGGAACTCTGTGAATTTCAATTCCAGCCACAAATCTCTACATATTATTAAGTTATAGCTAATTCACAGGTTTGATATGACATGATATATGATTAACTTAATTTGTATGGTTCAACTATAGATATTTTCTTTTTCTTTGTAACCCATGTACATGGATATGTTTACAACATGTTATTTTTGTTACCCACTTGAATACATTTTGTAACATTGTGTTATGTTGTTGTTAATAATTCAAATTCAAAATTCAAAGGAGATTTTCTTTTTCTTTTGCTTCTTTTTGTATGTTATTATATTTTTCCTCCTTCTCCTTCATCTTCTTTCTTCTTCCTACTTCTTCTTTCTTCTCCTTTTCTTTCCTTTTCCTCCTCCCTCCTCCCTCCCCCTCACCCCTGGCTGGCCTTTGTTTGTTGTTGCAAAGTCTCGTTTCGTTTCGTTTTGCTTTGTTTCATTGGGAATGGGGAATTGCAATCATTGGATTATGACTTAGATTGCTCATATTCACCTCTCCGCACGGTCGCTCATGCAATGTTGCACAAAACAATAGGCACCAATTTAGGGAGGGATTGCTTTGTGCAATAAAATGGCTTTGCAAAATTACCTGTACCCATTTTTAATCTTGATCAGCTCCATGCCAACCCTTTTAACACCGGTACAGATGTTCTGTATACATCCATTTACTTAATTGATATGATATTAATGTAAATTTATGTTATGTCATTGAGTTTTTTTTTCAATTCAAAAGACAATACCCTCCCCCCCCCCCCCTAAAAAAAAAAAAAAAAACATCGGTACAGATAATAGTCAGAAACAGTGAAACAATTTGGAATCCTTTGGTATTTACTGTAGATCTATCCCAAGATATAAACATTGTGGAACAGGGAGGTTATTAGTGTGTCATACATATGTATCACAAGTTGATAAAGTACTTACGTCCATGGATTTCACAATGCCTACGATTCCAAATGGGAGACAACAGCAGATGGTGACGAAGATAGCGAATGCCAGGTAGTCGTTTGGCTGAGGCTGGGATTGGCGTACAATCATCGTCGTCTGGGGAGCAGCCTGTAATAACACAAACAATTCAATTGTTACAAAAATGGATCAATAGCCATGTTCATATCCAGGGAAAAATAAATATTTATTTTTCGGGGGCTACTTTTCAAGCTTGCCTGCATGAAAATAACACTCTAAAATTTGTTTTGCATTGAACTCTATGCAAATTTAAGGGGCTCTTTTCTGATTTTCGGGGCCTCTTTTGGGCATTTGGGGGGCAAATTCGCCCTGAGCCCCCGTGTATTTTTTTCACTGTTCATATCCCTCACTATACAGTCTTTCTTCTTCTTTGTGCATGGCTGATCGTCAACGAAACGATACAGAGTTTAGTCTTTTGTCAACTCTTTTTCTTGCTACATGTAGTAAACAGCCAGTGAAAACCATTTTTTTTTTAAATGAAATTATGGAAATGCAAGCATTACTTGCGTTCTCTTATTTCATATGGCACCTTAAGTATGATCAATAAATCCCACATGACAATTTTTTATTAAAGATACATGTAGTCTGAAGTAGCAGTGTCGGAAACCCGATTCCAAAATAAGTGAATGGCTCTCTCATTTTATAGTTCATTATTGTTTTTAAAGAAAAAGAAATGAATTTGGGACGATTCATTTTTGGAACTACATACGATTTAAAAATATTTTCATCTTTCACTATTAAACTTTTCAAAAACAAAATGAACCAAACAAAGCAGGCATCCACATATTTTGGACAAGTGGAATTATGACAGCACTGGCACACTGCCACCAGTGCAGACTGTGTGAAATTGAATACATGTGAATTGTTTATGACAATGTTAAAAATAACCTTTCCGGTCACGATTAAATGAACCACAAAATGATTTGGTTTTGTCGAGTAATTCACCCATAAACTTGGGTTTTATTTTTCTGGGACATCCTGTTTAATTTCGCCATTCCCGAAGGCCTACATGTACATGTAGGCTGAGAGAGACAGAAACACTCAGAGAAAGGAAAGGGAGGAAGAGAGAGAGAGAGAGGGTTTTATAGTAAAAAAAAAAATAACAAGGAAAGGAGAGAGAAAGGGGTGAGTATAAGTTAACAGAGAAAGGAGAGGGAGGGAGGGAGGAGGGAGACACAGACATAGAGAGAGAAATCAAAGAGAGTGAGAGGGGAGATAGAGGAAGGAGGTGAATAAAAGTAACAGAGAAAGGAGAGGGGGAGGGAGGGAGACACAAACATAGAGAGAGAGAGAGAGAGAGAGAGAGAGGGGGGGGTGATTAAAATTTAACAGAGATTTTGAGAAAGACCAGGGTATTGCAAAGTCATGAAAGAAAACACAAAGAAGGACCTATGGTATAAAGAAAGAAAAATCAACCAAATCATTAAATGACAAAAAGAGATTGATATCTAACCATTTCTGCAAAATCCACAATTTCTATTGACAAACATGTCCTGTATGATTAATCCCTTGGCAGCAATTCAATGATTGTCTACATTTCAAGTTAAAGGGCAATCCAACATTTGTACAAATTTCATTTGTATGACAGCTAAAGGAAAAATGTGACAAACAGAATGAAGAAAGTCAGAAATAAATTGGACCAATAATAAGAACGTTATTAGTGTATGAAATACATGAGATCACTAATAAAAGCCAAATTGCCGATATGGTTACTGGGAATACATGTAGTCGCTGATAATTGTCATGTCATGAATTTCTGATTTTCTCTTGAATGCCTTGTTCCTTGGGTTACTTCTGAGAATATAATGTAGATAGCATATTATCAAGTTTCTCTAAAAAACGGAAAAGACACTCCTGTGTAATAGATTAAGAAAAATTGATATACAGTAGTCATTTCACGTTTTGGAAAAAATGGGAAATTTGTCCGTCACTTCGGCCTTCACCATGGTGACATTACCGATTTAGCCAATTTGAAGGGCCCATATGTCTAGTGATTAAACATTTCGAAAATTCAAAGCTATCTGTTTGGGGTCCGATTTTGATCAAACTCTCAGCAGTCTGATTCTCTGATTTTCCAGCTTTCTATTTAATAACAGAGTAGTTTTTTATTAGAATTGGATATCTCTATAAACTAACAGCAATCAGTCATCACATTCCCTTTAAATAGGTCGACCAACTCTCTGCAGCTTATGATAAATCTCTTTCCAACTACTACACAATACATTTCTTGGCAGGAAATAGTGCAGGAAACCATCTAACTTTTTTGACTTTGAAGAGGAAAAGGGACTCCAACAATTATTTCCTCTAGCTCCTGAATGCATGCACCATCCCATACGCTTAAAATACGCATCCGGAAGGCAAAAGGCATAACATGATGTTTGTTAAAGGCATTGTTTAACAATGTTTCCAATGTTTCTAATATTCATGGCTCTACATGTTATCAGTGTAGACCTGTGATATGATATAATATGATGTAATATGATGCCCTAAAAAAAAAGCGCTCTAAAATGATCATGAAGTGCTTCAAAAAAGTGAAAATCTTGGAGTGACCAGTTTTACCATATACTCATTTTCCCCGATAGACTGTAGTGTACATAATAAACTAGATGGAACTTCGACTGCGCGCAGTCGAAAATGATGCCTCCGTCATAGAGCAATTTTACAAACCAAAACAGAAGAAATTTTTCAAATTCAAGTTCAATTGTAATCCATTAAGAGGTTCTCAGAATATCGTGATTACAAGCAATTTCTCATATACATATATGACCCTTTGATCTTTGACCTGATGACCCTAAAATCTACTCAGTTCATTGGCTCTGCAAGATGTCCTGAGTTAAATAGTAATCCATCTGTCAGTTCTAATGAGAATGCGTTCACAAGTTATTTTTGGATACATAATGAGCCCATGACCTTTGACCTCATGACCCATGAATCTACTCAGTTCATTGGCTCTGCAAGATACATACATGATCGAAATTTGGCACGAATCCATCAATCTGTTCTAATGAGAATGGGATCACAAGCTATTTTTGCATACATAATGAGCCCTGTGACCTTTGACCTTTGACCTCGTGACCCCAAAATCTATTCAGTTCATCGGCTCTGCAAGATACATACATGACCAAAGTTTGGCAGGAATCCATCAATCGGTTCTTGAGATAATGCGATCACGAGCTCTTTTTGCATACCTAATGAGCCCTGTGACCTGTGACCTTTGACCTTGTGACCCCAAAATCTAATCAGTTCATCGGCTCTGCAAGATACATACAAGACCAAAGTTTGGCATGAATCCTCCAATCGGTTCTTCAGATAACGCGATCACGAGCTGTTTTTGCATACATAATGAGCCCTGTGACCTTTGACCTTTGACCTCGTGACCCCAAAATCTAATCAGTTCATCGGCTCTGCAAGTAACATACATGACCAAAGTTTGGCAGGAATCCATCAATCGGTTCTTCAGATAACGCGATCACGAGAACGGGACGTACGGACGGACGGACGGACGTACGGACGTACGGACGTACGGACGGACGGACGGACGGACAACCCGAAAACATAATGCCTCCGGCTACTTCGTAACGGAGGCATAAAAACGTTCGTTGGGAAAACATTTTTTGAAATTTCTAATTCCAATCCTAAATATCTTGACGATCAGACAGGCGATCGGCTTGTAAAATTCATGGGATTCCTGACTGACCTACAGGCATTTATAATTATGATTGCAGGCATCAGCTAAATCCAGGATTTTTTTTAGAATCTGAGGCAAAGATACTCAATCCATTCCCTTTAACTAGTTTTTGTTTTTTGACATATATGTGGAGTCTCGCTGGGAATTTGACACCTTCCGGTGCTTACCCAATAACAGATGTTGTCAATCGCCGAGATTAACATTCAGTTAACATGATCAACAAGCGTTATTTATAAAATGCTGTGTCTTTTCCCCATATACATTGTATAATATGGTAAAGTCCATATCTGACATTTGCACCACCTGAAGACTCTCTGAGAGACGAGGGAGTATTTGAGTGGACTACGAGTTTGCTGTGTGCAGACTTGTACACCCATTAATGGTATTTCCACCAAGTTTGGTGTCAGCGAATTATGACCTTCTGCACATGGAAACTACCTACCCACCCACCTTAAAGCGTACCAATGACCAATTGACCATATAACATGTTTTGCTCTTGATGCAATGATTCCATTTAGCTCTACTGTCTTTAAAATATGAGATTCAAATATTAATTCTACAAAGTGATATTGACATTGTCACATTCTCAGTAAACTATAAAACGTCTTGTTGAGTAGACTAGGTATTGCACGCATAATTAAGCATGTAGAATAGGGCTCGCACTGAATCCAAGTGGGATTAGACTCTCTCAGCATCACTATTGACAAAGCACACCATTATAAAGTGCAAAGACTCTATTTGAGGTGTTTTTTGTAGACTAACTGCAAGGTGAAATAAGGAAGCTGGAATATACTTTCATATGTTAGATTTTAATCAAAGAAAAAGAGGCAGAAAAAGAGAGAGAAAAATGATCAATGAATGACTTGGAAGGGGGTAGGACATTGTGTGTCTCCATTGTTGAATTTTAAAAACAGACATATTTGAAGAAAATTGTATGCAATATTCCAGAAATCTTTTAAGAAGATGTACATGTATTAAAACAATAGATACAGAGGGCAAATATTGATGATGTTGAATGCTATTTGATGCATATTTTTTCGTAAATCTACATGCAAATGTGAAGGCTTTATTTTTGGTAAGCGTCCAGACATCCCCCCCCCCCCCTACCCTACCCTGCTTCCCATCATACTTGGTCTTTACCACAGGGTAGCGCTTCACAAAATTGTCATAAGTACAAGTGAACAAGTTCACAGACATCCCACTGAAATGTGTATACTGCAACTAATCTGGGGGATGTCGGTGACTTTATGACGGTTTTGTGAAATGATACCAGGCTTACACTTGATAGAGTGATCAAGGAAAAAGACTTGAAAGTTAGGGGGGGGGGCAGTGAAGAGTTGACAACTTACCCCGACAACGACCGTTTGTCCGGTGTACTGCGCCTGGCCCTGGGCGGGGTAACCTTGCTGCTGGGGAGGGTAGCCAGGGTTCTGCTGAGGGGGGTAGCCAGGGTTCTGTTGAGGGGGGTAGCCAGCCGGCTGCTGGGGAGGGTACACAGCCTCTTGAGCCTTGTCTGGGTAAGGGGCTGAATAAACAATCAAATATCAATATTAGTGTCATTAAAAGAATATATTTTCTTATACTTTTAATCATTAGTTCATGTACAGTGTACTTTGTATCTACTATAGGCCTACTTGAAGTTGCTTACAGTTTACAGTTTCAGTTTATTTTCATATTTCTCACATGTTGTATAGTACATCATTACATATAGCATGTTACATTTTGAACTCATTTTAGGATGCGTTTATACATAAAAAAAAAATTAAAAAAATGATACATAAGACTAAGTTGAATAAGGGAAGAAATATGATGGAGCCTAAAGAGAAAGCAATGCTTGTAGGTCATAGGCTCCGGAAGTTACAACAATGACATAGTCTTGTGTATATTAAAAAAACGTAATTTAATTAAATTGAAACTTATTATGAAGAAAAATAAACAATATTCATACACTTAGCAATATTTGTATAACATTTTCACCACCCGTACGCAATGGCAATTCTCATAGGAGCATACCAAGATATGTTTGTTATGGTGATAGTGACACAACAAGGGCATGGCGACATTAGATTATAAAATCATGTCATAAAAATGTAACACAACGAGAACAACAGTATGAATTCAAAACAAAAGTAGGCCTAATTAGTAAATTCCTGTACAGACGGTCATACTATAGGTTTCTTAAATTCAAATATCAACCATTTTACTATTCAGTCCTCTGACTCTGTGCATGCTCATAACTAACAGTAAAGGACAATCCAACCCATGTTATCAGTTGATGTGTATGAAAGCAGAAAAATAACAGAAACAGAATGGCAAAAGTTTGAAATGAATCGGACCAATAGTAAAGAAGTTATGAATGTTTGAAATATGAGATCACTAAAGTCTATGCAAATCTCAAATTGGTAGTTCGGTCAGTGGATTGTGTCGTAGGACATGGATAACTCTCCCATTGTGTACAAAATATAATTCATTTGTGTTTTTTTCTCGTATAAAGTTCTTTCTCCCTTGGGTTACTACTCAAAATATATTATAGGTCATCTTAAAAGAATAGATCCTCTTGAGCAATGAATTTTTGAAACGTTTTAATTTGGTGATTTTATATGTTGGAACAGATGGGAAAGTAGTCCGGTGCTAGTTACATCACATTGACATTACCGCTTCAGCCAATTTGAATTGCCCATACGTATAGTGATTACAACTTTCAGCTTTCTTATATTTAGTCAGATTTAATTGAAACTTTCATCATTATCAGGTTTGCCTCTCTGAATTTTCTGCTTTCTTTTTAGTTTTAGAATTAGAGTAGTCTAGTTGTCTCTTTGACTAGGATGTCCCTTTATTAAGTTTAACATACATGAATATGCATTAAGTTAGAGTCTTACTTAGACTAGGCCTAAACAATATTCATCCAGAACATAGAAAACAAAGAAACTATTAAGACTAATACAAGACTAAAATGTACTGTGATGTAGACTACTAGACTCTACATTTATGATTATGAATTAATGTAGGCCTAGCCTGGCATAGACCTAGTCTAGATCTAGTCTAGAGAGTAGGCCAGGCTAGAGAAGAATCTATTCTAATTTTGTATAGAAAGAGACTACTGACTACAGACTACTGACTACTGAAGGCGTAAATATAATTAATACACGCCATAAAAACTAAATTAAACAACATCAGATTAAATTTTTATTTAAACCTGGCATTTTTGGCAAGTTTTCTTCCTTCTTCTTCTTCTGTACATGTCGACAGACCTTATTTATTTGAAACAATGGAACTGTGCATTGTTTTAACTTTTTTACCTGTGGTGAAATTATAAATATAGCCTAGATCTAGACCTACACTGCAATTTTACTTCAATATACAGTTTCACTTCGATCTGAGAATTTCACTGACTGCCAGAAATGCATTGGCGATGTACCGAGCGTAGCTAGGGCCAAGGCGAAGGCCGCACCCGTTTCTGTGTATGCATGCGATGGGAGTACGACTTGATCTAGATGGATACAGTTTTGGTAAATCTGCCGATTCCTAGTCCAGCAAAAACCAACCATTTCCCCCACATACTCATGTTTCAGACATACATTTCATCAACAGGACAGTTCCATTGAATCCAACTAGTGAGACTCCTTTAAACTAACGAAACTAGAAAAATTATAAGAGAAGACACAGGAGGAAATTCGGAAAGTGAGTAGGATAAACTGAGTGCGCGTTCTTTCATCCATTCCACTTTCCACAAATCTGCAAAACGTTTATCTGTTTAACGGGGTAATAACTTGCTTTTCAGAGAGAAAGAAAAAATAAATACATAGAAAATAAAAGCTAGGCCTAACACATATATCTTACCAGACATTTCAATTGATTGGTGAGTCAGTTCGCGGCAAATGGAAATACAGTGAATACAAGTTATGTTATCAGCCCGGTTATCAGTCGTTCAGTTTCAGCTTTCGCTATTGATGCAGATGCTACTACTGGCTAGCTGCGGTGCTGCAGCTACTACTTATCAGATATCAGATGGGATGGGAGGCTGAGGACTAGACGGCCGCCCACATGCGACTCGCCCTACATTTAATTCGACCCTGACTAAAACAGGGGCGGTGACATAATTTATTATACTACTTGAAAGAACAAAAAATCTCGACCTCTCGATCTACATAATAGGGATTTTTTCTTTTCTTTTTAACATGAGTTCCCTTTAATTTGGGCCCCCCCCCCCCACTCAGTGTTATTTAGGGTACGCATATGCTCGTACCCTTTTTTTGAAAGCACCCCCTATCTGAGGACTATACCAACATTTCCGAACCCCCCTTTCGCGGGCTTTTCGCGTGCTTTTCCTGCCTTGGAGACCCCCCTAAATCAGGAAAAATGCTCAATGTACCCCCCTAAATTCGGAATAATTTCTCAGGAGTCCAAAGAGATGAGAGAAAAAAAGAAAAACACCCCCTTTTTAAAGAAATCTCCGGGTGAAAAGTCAAATACACCCCTTTTTTTACAATTCTCGGGCCGGACTTTGTCGCACGAAAATACCCCTTTACCGGACATTTTGGCAACACGCATGCGGTCATTCCGACCTCTGAGTGGGGGGGGGGGGAATTTGGGAGCCTGTCCCGAAACTGTCACCCAATTCTATTAATAAGATTTGATCCCCCAACGTTCTTCAACCATCTAACTCATTGACAAAACTGTCTGCTTTAGATATCGGGGCCCTCTTAATAATAAGAGTTGATGTAGGCCCTGTACATAATGTTAAAAGATAAGAGACTGCAACTTGCGATTGATTGGAGGACTTACGATTGATTTGGATCAATCGTAACTCTTTGTACGACGTAACCCGGGTTTATTAAGCCCCCCCCCCCCCTCCCCAATAATAATAATAATAATACCTATAGAAAAAAGAAATACGAAAATATAAAAACAAGACCCAAATTTGGAACGATTTCTCCCAATCTATCCCATGCACTAAACTTTTTCAGTCGGAAGAAAATATGACTAGACATTACAAAACATTAAAAAGCTGACAACAATTTCCGCCTGGATAGGGTGTTAGCCGAACCCTAAAAAATGGGGTCAATTTATTGTCCGAAGAAAGAGCTGAAATGGCTGTACATTACAAAAATATTTAAAAATACCGAAATTGTCAATCGGGAAGGCGGTGTAAAACCGTAAGCCTTTAAGTCAAGCCTTGTTGCTCAAAAATGGTTTGTGTGTAATCAGTATAAATTTATAATTATAAAATGAATTGATCTCCCTCTCCAGTGACGCGTCTTGGGAGTATGGGGCCCGGCGGGAAAAAGACAATGTTGCTCCCCCCCCCCCCCTCCCCCCCCCCCCCCCACCTCCAGAAAGATTAAACAAATTAAGATAAGTAGGCCCGACACCATGTGCTTATACTGGTCACTATGCGCAAATAACAGTTGTGGTTTTTAGTGAAGATGATTTCCTGCAAGTTTTTTGTTAGCTAATGTTTAATTTACTATAGTTCAAACAATCAGTCTATACTGCAGGATAAAGAATCAAGAATGAATTATAGCCAAGTTTTTTCGACGTACGATGCCTATATACCAGAGCTCGAGATTAACTTTAAATAGTCCCTTTAACCACTGGTATGTTTAACGGATATAGGTTTATCATGAACTATTAATTTATTATTAATTAATTGATTACTTTTATATATAAAAATATTATTGATGTTGGCAAAGAACAACCTCCTTATAATTATGTAAACATAAAGTGTTTCCTCTTTTGTTTCAAATGCACAAACATAACATGTTAACAAAATGCCAAAATGTATGACAAATAAAAAATGAAATAGGGAGAAAAAAAACGACTGCCCCGCTTGGAACCTATTTAGCGGTTACAATGGTTGGCACATTAAATTTTGCTCTGAAAGAGATGTGTGTTTAATAACGGAGTTTTGTTTATTTAATTTGTTTCATTTCACTGTGTTCCTATTTCAATATTTGTTCACCCTTGATCTCTCTCTTTCAGATTTATTCTCTTGTTTTCTTTTCTCTGCCAAAGTCAAATATTCTCTCTCCTTTTTTCCTCTTTATTTTTACTACTTTTGTAATGCATTTTTCTAAAGAAAGACCAATGTTACAAGTGAGCCTGCAATCGAGTGGTAGAATTTAGAATTGTTAACATTGATAAACGTTTTCATCGCTTCATCAATTGCGGAATAAAACTAACGAAAACCGAGGAGCTTCGTTAGGTATCACTCAGTTAAGATGGTTGATGGTCATTTGCACTTGCTAATAAGTTCAGATTTATCCTATATTCGGGAGGGAGAAACATAAAAGAGGTTGCATGTTTCACCAATGGAAAACAAATTTCTGCATTATATAATCCAATTAAATCTTGAATCTTGAATGTTATGTTGATCATCTATTCCATCCGTACCCTTTTCACTGTCCCATCATTTATCTTTACCTTTCCACTATACTACGAACTTTGTATTTGAATCAAATTATAACTGTACTTGTTTCTGGTATGCATAGGTTTTTATCATGAACTGTATTTCACATTATAAATCCCACTAACATTCAGCCTCGAGGCTGCAATTGTAGATTTAAAGTGCAATAAATACGAATTTAATAATTCAATTCGATTCTATGCCACCCGTATTAATGCTTTCTAATGCTACGGACACAAAGGTTCGTATATCAAACGATAATTTCGCACGAATCTCCCCGATTTTTGATTGTCTTCCCGACTATGTTCATTGTCTGAAAATCGTTCGTACGGCATTCGTAGCAGTTCTTAATGACATTTGTGACCGAGGCTTTAGCAGTCAGGTAAAATAAACACCACTACCACAATCACCACCACCACCACCACCACCACCACCACATAAATGATGACTTTTCTCTCTTTTTTTTCATTCTATTTTCAGTTTCAGTTCTATAATAATCAAATCAGCATATATTAGAACAAACATGGATAAATGTAAACTTAGTTTAAAGAGAACTGGTTCAGTTATGAATACATAATAAAGTCAGCATACATTAAAACATCTATGGACAAGTATAAACTTAGTTTCAACATAACATGCCAGTGCTCCATGCAAAAGTAACGTAGCCTGGTGCATTGTGAGCCCAGGAAATGAGGCACAAGGACATTTAATTATGTTTATAGAATACTGTTATCATAATGCGTATAGGTAATGAACCCCAATTGATTGTTTACTTTTAGATATTGACATATTTTATGGTCTACTGCTTAAAGCATTCCTTTCAGTTTCAAAAATTACATGTAATGGTGGCATGCACAAATATAATAATGTTAACACTAACGACAATTTGTGATAATCATTGACAAAAGAAAGAATGCAGTAGGGAAAATTCAAAGCTGTCCCGCTTTGCAACTATTGTTTGGTTAGCGTATCACTGAAAGGCAGGTGTGTGATGACCTAGTTCTATTTATTCATTTGTGATGAAAGAATGCAGCATTTTAGTTTTCTGTCGTATACGCAGAAAGCCCAGATAGGCCTACTTGTATTCATTCATCAATATTTTGTCTTCAATCACATTTATTTAAAAAATCCTTGCAGATGCGTGTGATATTAAATGACATCTTCTTTCACATCATTATAATAATTTAAGTGAAATTTTGCCATCAAATTTGTTAAGGCTCTCAACAAATTTAGAGTGGCTCATTTCTAAAGCAATCATATCCCGCGTTTCGGGGGCACATAGTTTTCGTTTCTAGTATAATTTTTTTCTTCCTGTTCTCTACTTTTACTCTAATGTGCGTTTACATTTGCGCCCCCTTCAAGTGCCCCTCCACTATCAACATCAGTTAAAATCAGAAGGGCTTATATACTTCTCGGTTAAAATATATGATTTAACACGGCCTTCTACCACCAAATACACGGATCAATCATACTAAGATTGAATTTCTAGTCGGCTACTAGTCCAGATTATATCCGTTTTTAAATATTTGTTATTCTTTGATCACGATCTCCCCCTCCCTTACACAGATCCCAAACAGATCTTTGCGACCCCCGAAAATACGAGAAATACGTTAGGCAAAGTCATGTCTCCGGTTTAGCGTTGAGGGTGTATATTTTCTCAGCTAATCGATCGCGCGACATGCATGCATGGTTATACCTGAGGGATGATTTTGTTTGGGTCGAATATCAGTTGCGATATTGTGCTTGGTTGATAATCCCGGTTCCTTCAACATCCAGGCGTGGCGCGGATTGTTTACATTTAGTTATCGTACCCACTACACGTAGGATCTAGACTGCGGAGCGGTTTTGGAATTTGAAAGTGCGGGGGCTGAGCAGATTATGAGGAGGCTCGACCAGCCCCTTTTTATTGCTTAAACTTTAATGGTAGCTTTCATCCTGATTTGATCGACTTTGACTTGTAGTCAAAATAGCAATTAATGACCATTGACAAAGTTACCATCACTGGTTATAACTTTGGGGTGGTGTGGATGCCAGTGCGACGGTGCAGCTAGTGTAGAGTGGGAGAGGGGGGGGGGGGGGGGGGCTCTAGGGGGCTGCAGTTACATTTTGTGTATGTACAGGGAAGCAGTCATAATCACAAATTACATTGGAAAATGAAAATGAAATAAATCTTACTGTAATAAACTTATACCAGGCAATTCCTGTTTACAGATTGTTAAAACTACTTCAGAGAAATTAACTAGTGTGTACAAAATATATAAAAACACTTATATACAATTTATTTAAAAATCGGTGTCATTTTGAGAAGAATTTTTTTTGAAATTTAGATAAAACTTACAAAAATGCTCATTAATAATTATCCAATGTTATCCAATTTTATAAATGACTCTTTAATTAACAAAAAGATCAATTTTAAGTGATTTATTATACCTTTTATATCTCTAGCATTTTGGGACAATCTCCTGTAAACTCGTGATTTTAGCAGTTTTGTCCACTTTCCCTGACTGTAGGCCCACTTTTAATATCCCTAAGCACTGTCCGAGTTTATCCATGCAAGGTGTAGCCCGTAATTTCCTCGTTCAAGACTGACCCCTTTTAAC